CGGATTCAAATTCGTGTATCTGCACGATATTAAGTGGTTCCATGGGAACGACATTCAGATAAAAATCGGAAGATTCAGCGCCAACGTCTTGATATCAAATGTTTGCGAAACGTTTGAAGCATGTACATAATCTACATCCGATATTCCTTCATNCAACGGATTCCTAATTCTCCGAAGTCGACAAATTCGCGGAATTACGTCGCGGTCGACGAGAGCCAGCGGATTCCTGCGTCGAGGGAGATAACGGCTGTCCTCAAAAAATCGTCGGACGAAGTGAATTCTCCGAATTACGTCGCGAATCTTCCGGTGTCGAATGGCCGACGGATTCCTGCGTCGAGGGAGATAACGGCTGTCCTCCTAGATCGACGGGAATTCTCAGAATCTCGTCGCGAGTCTTCCGCCGTTGCGGGGAGCAAAGGTGCCGACGCGATTCTTCGAATCGAGCGGCGGATGACAGAGTTCGCGGAATCGAGTGGCGGACGGTAAAATTCCTATCTCGACGGGGTCATCCACGGGGGGATGGGGGGAGGAAACGTTGCGTCAACGTTCTTTTGGAGCTGGAGCGGGGTCCCACGGGTGGAGTAGGCAAGGCGGTTGGGGGTATGGGAGACTCACACGCATAGGCCAGCGGTGCGCATGGGTGCGTGACCGTGTGCACGCAACGAGGGGCCCAAGGGTTTGCTGTCAAGGGGAATGAGGGAGGGGGGAGGGACTCACACGCATAGGCCAGCGCTGCGCATGCGTGTGTGTCCGGTACGTGTGCACGCATAGTAATCTATCCAGAACCGGCCACTTCCTACTACTAGTTATTACGAAAAAATGTCCCGTTCATTTGGGGAAACGAACAAGAAAAAGCTTTTGCTACATTAAAAGAAGAATTATGCAAGGAGCCTATTTTGATTTACCCTGATTTTTCGCGTGAATTCACATTAACCACCGATGCATCCGTGATTGTTTTGAACGTTATACTGTCGCAAGAGAAAAATGGAAAAGAACATCTAATAGCCTATACAAGTCGGGCTCTAAATAAAGCGGAACAAAACTATTCAACCACAGGAAAAAAAATTATTGGCAAAAGTATGGTGCGTCGTCAAATTTTCGTCCATATCTTTACGGCCATAAATTCGAAATCGTAACAGATCATCGACAATTGATCTGGTTAATGACCCATGAACCCCCCCTCATTCACGACTCGCAAGATGGAGGATTACGTTGGAAGATTACGAGTATGAAATAAGTTATAAAAGAGGCAGCTTCAACGCGACGCTGACGCTTTGTCCCTAAATCCCATTTTTGTAGCTCGTCGAATGAACTTAGACGACCTACTGGAAACGGAAGACACGGAAATAATTCATCGTCAAAAGTCACAAGATTAATATATATCATATTTTGTTTACTATTCGTATGAAAAAATGTGACTTTAATTCATACGCGCATATACATTATCAGTAATTGTTTGCTAGTCGAATGACATCCTAATGGTCTTTAAGTAAAATCAGATAGTTTATCATTACATAATTTCATTGAGTCTGATTTGTCATTTAATATCTAACTANATTGTCAAGTACCAAAAAATAATTAAAAATGAAAAAATTATATAATTTTGGATAAAATTGCGTGATTTTTTTTATTAAATGTATGAAAAATTAACATTATTTTAAGGTAACTGAAATTATAACATTAATATAACATGTTACCTTACCGAATGGGAAATAATAACTAACATCTAACTTCCATGTTACTTTTATGTTACATAACATGTTAGTTTCGAAAACGTAACATTTACCCAACAGTTATATAACAGTGTTCACTGGGTACATCGCTAATCCACATGATTATATCATAACCAATGTCTCTTTCATTTTCAAATATAGAATCGAAATTTATTTCTTAATCGCAGGATCGTGAGGCTCGAACCCTGACGGATGCCCTTTTGTGTCAGTGCAAAAAGCACGGACTAAAGTGCATACCATTACAGTATATGTATATGTTTGATGTCAGTTCCGAGTCAAAATGTAAAAATCATTCATGAATCATTGCAGGCATTCAAATTTCGATTTCCGAACGCACTACGAGTCTGTTGCGGGCCATTTACGATTCCAACGTGTTTCGGACTCGTTACGGACCTATGGCCCGAAAGTGTTGCAAATGTCTGGCCGATTTTCATCTTTCAACTCGATTTTTAACAAGGTACTTACCATTTGTATCGTACCCACGTAAGCCGTGTTAATAGTAGTAATTTCGTCCTCATCTGACAAACCCTCTCCAGTCTTCTCTTTGTTGAAGAAGTAATGATTTCTTTGCAGGTAGGTCACTTCGTCCGCTTCTTCATCCGCGTCCGTTACTTTTTTTACAATGTGCAAACTGAAATGAAGATTTTTTCATAGAAGCGCCTTACTGTTCAATTTTAAAAGTAACGTAAAAAGCTATTTTAATGGAATATAAACGGCGTGTACTCATAGACATAAGGTCCTCGCTCTTCAAGTATCGGAGATTTTCCTTGGATAATTTCATCGGGATTGGTAACGTGAAAGATATAAACGTAAAAGTACATGCTTTGGTCCAACCAGACATCGTATCCGATGTGTCCTTTACGGAGTTGCAGCGCCTATGGGAAGTGAACAATTGCGGCAGAATTATAACATAACGGTGGATTGTTAATATTTATACAGGGTGTAACAGAAATGGTGGTCACTGCTTATACAGCGCTATCCTTGTTGAAGAACGAGTCGAGAAGTCCTGTACTATTTTTTCCTACAGTGCATCATTTTCCTGTAATAATTTTGCACTGTAAAAAAAATAGTACAGGACTTTTTGACTTCTTTTTCAACAAGGATAGCGCTGTATAAACCGTGACCGCCATTTCTGTTACACCCTGTATTTGATTACTGTTGGGATGCAATTTCATAAATTTTCCAAAAATTGATGGCTTCTATGTAAAAGAGCACTCGGGTAACAACATTACTCTACGCATAAAAACTATGTACATGCAGAACAATATTGAAAAGATAACATTTTTGTCGGTTCAGTCATTGAGTGTGGTTATTATATGAACAACCAAATACTTGATTGGAATAACCACATTCTTTGGTTAATAATTTTTAGTGAAACACTTCAAAAATTGTGATAGATCACGTCACGCGTTAAAGTAATTCGGTAAACCGAGTGAAATATTTTCTGTAATTAACAAAACGGTTTAACTAAAATATTTTAGTTGATTGAAGCAAACGAGTTAGGTTAAGTGAATTAAAATTCGATTCACTCAACCAAAATGTTTTCTGAAATTAACCAAATGCAGTCAGTCAACCAATTTTGTTAAATGAACCAATTTTTTTTCCTGCGTGTAATATACAGCATAGAGAAAGCAAGATCAAAGCAGATATCCCGCCCAAAATGGATAGACGTTATACCGGCGGTTACACAAATTTAATGTGCAGTGGCAGGAAGATTAAGCTCGTATTAACGATTAAAGATCGTACTCATGCCTCAATTTTCGCGTTAAAAGACGTATTTTGTCTGCAGTCTTTAAATAGCTAAAAGATGGCTTTTAATTTTTAAAATGAAGTATCTGCGAGCAGGAGCTTAAGTCCAATGTAATGCAGCTGTCATAAAGGCGAAGCTTGTCGATTACGAGTAAATTAATAATCTAAACTAGGCATTTCTACTAAAAAGGCACAAGATAGAATAATGGAAATTTTATATTTACTTATCGTGAACTTATATAATTAACTAAGCACTTATTTAGACCAATTATTGCCATATTTTTTTTCTAAATTGATTCAATTCCGTGAAATAATAGTTTACTGCCGCACTTTAATGTGTTTGATAAACTAATAAGTAGCTCAAAACAGATAGGATAAAGTGGGTTGTAATCTACTATATAATAGTTTCGTTCTACTTAAAATGTTAAGTATCCGATATTTTTAAAACAAAACACCAAATGGCATACACCAAACTTTCAAATGATATGTATATATGAATGAATATTGTACGATTATTAATTATCTTTTTTCCTATTTTTGGAATTAACCTACCTGCTTTGAGCACGCTTCTCGTAAATAAAAACATGTAGCCAATTTAAATACTGTACTCTTGTAAACTTCATTAAACTCACCTCTCGCACATCATTTATAATGTAAGATAAATGGGGTGTTCGAATTCGCAGATATATTCCAAAAGACAGAAAAATAATACCAGATATGTACGGTAAGAGTGAACGTATAACATTACCGCTACACCATCGTCGGGACATAATAATATGTTGAGAATATATATTTTTCGAATAAACAATTATAATCGAGGCACTTCGTACGCAATTTGGAGGACTTATGAAAAAGTATGACAAGCTAATGTGTATACCTAATGGGGTTATACATACAAAATGCAAAAGAGCGCATTATAAATTTATGCTTGTACCTCTTATCAATAAAAAATCACGCGAAGTTGCATTATTAACAGCCTTTTACACGGCACCTTCTAACATTAGTATAGTGCTGTTCTCGTTCGTTTATGCGCATATAAAGAAATGTGTGTCGCGGAATTTGAAGATTTTAATGGATCGATATTATGGGAATAATTTTATTCAATTTCATTTATTTCACTTTAAATGTCAATAATTAACAAAGAGAGTAGTTCATTAACACTAAAGAAAATGTTTACGCAAATTATCTCCATATTAACTGTAAAAAGAAAAAACAAACAACAAAAGGAAACGTTCTCTTTCTGAAACGAGTCCCTTTTGTTCTTCACTTTTAGTTTGTAAATTGTGAACTTATCGTCCCATGCGATTAAAATTTCATAATTGCATTTAATAAATTAAAACGCTGTTATTTTATCGCAGTTTCTGCATGGCTACGTAGAATTCTACTTTACCAACAGAAGGGTTATGTATTTTGGAGAAGCTCCGCTAGACGGCGACACTTAATACGTCGCTGAATTTCATGGATTGACGAAAGTCTTAACTGCAACGGAGTAAAAAGGAAGCCAGCAATGGCGGCGTTTAACCGCTTTGATTCCTAAGCATAGTTTCTTTTCCCCAATTCGCGTAGCCTGTTTAGCGGAATCCCTGTAAGTTTTGGTTGATCGCCGGCGAGTCTTTTCGCAAATCTTTCTAAACGATCCTTTGGCGACTCTTCCTTTTGTGGCGTGGACTGACGCGAGAGTTAGCGTGCGGTATAACCTAACAGAAGTCGGAGTTTGCCCACGCGAAACAATGACAATGAACGAGGATTTTAACTTCTCCGAGCTATGCAGGCTCTGCTCCCTGAAAAGCAATCATCACCTGCAGATATTCGATAAGGAGGGCGAACAGAGGCAATTACTATTCAAAATACGTTCCTGCATCCCTGCTGTGGTGAGTTCATTTTCCAGCTTTCATTAAAGCTGGTGACCTTTTTAGATGCTATGTATTAGAGGGAAGAGTTATTGAGTTTTATAATATTCAAGATATCACTATAAAAGCGGGTAACAGATAGATTGGATATGGTTTGTTTTACTATCGTGTCATTATTTCAAATTTTAACATTTTACGTAAATCGCTGCTCCGATATGCTTCTCAGAAATTTGTTTGATTACGATAGTCGCATGTTAACATGTAACATGGATTAACCATGCCAAAGGGTATTATTTATTAATAATAGGCCCTTGGGAGGGAATGTACATATGTTAACGGTGCAATGATCGTATTTATTAAGCCTTGCTGTAAAGCTTTATAGTTAACTGCAGCAGTTATAGCTACATTGATGACTGCTTCAAGGCAGCATTGAATGGCCAATAATACTAAACGACATGAATGAGGAGCTATAAAATTATTTACTTAAGTGACAACGTAGTTCTATGCATACTCGGCCTTTCTTGCTTAATAATTTTTTTTTAGTAAACTTGTGCCTTATATTATTCTACATATTCTATGTAAAATGGTTTCTTAATGCTTGGCATGTACTTTTAATTTCTTCAATTTTAATAATGCAATGCATCCAGAACATGCAAGGATAATAATATAAGAATCGTTATCTGCGTAATTGTTATTTCATTGAACTGTGAGATAAATGAATGAAGTAACTATTGTTATTTTATATTCTCCGTTTATTATCGTTAAATGGTTTGAATAATTCTAAATTCATAGAAATTAATTCTATAATTCTTCCAATATTATACTTATAAGTGGATAATTTGGTCAATATAACTGTAATGTGTTTTAGAATACTGCGGAATGATGTAATATCGCAGTTAGCACACTCGTGTTTCGTTCTCGGCGTCCTACATGCGTTTGTATCGTGGCGCATTGCAGCGGCGAATTGGCGTACTAACGAAAAGTAACACCGTTTCTCGCCAATTTGCAGAAACTTTTATTTTCAAGCAGGGCGACTGATAATAAATAACACGTTTAATAATATGCATATACATGTTTCGTTAAACGAAGCTCGTCCTTGCTGATGTCGGGCATATTCGCGGCCCGGGAAATTCCTGATACGAAATTGACGTTACAGGAACGTAACCAGCCACCCGATATTAATTCGGAATCTATACGCGGTTAAATATCTAGAACACCCTTTCCCCATTTTCCTCGGGCGGAAATCAACGGAATTAAAAACGATGCAATTTCTTTCGACAGATAACCAAGGAGGATGCATTACCGAAAAATATTTGCCAAAGGTGTGTCTACAAGTTAGATATGTTTTACGAGTTTAGAGTGAGCTGCATGACCACTGACACGGTACTGAAGAATTACGCGGACAGCCTGAAACACCTCACGAGTTCCGTCACCAGTCAGGTAAATTTTCAGCATTAAACGTACTTGCAAAATCAGCCGATCTACGAATTAGCCCAACGCCCTTATGCCGTATTTCGATTTAATTTTTTGGCCATCGCAAATCAAGGTTCGACGACCACCTCCGGTGACTCCTCTTCTAATAAGAAAACTAATTCTGATAAGAAAAAACCGGACTCCTTTAAGACCCTCTTAACGCGACGGCTGCTTCCGCGGGGTCCCTTTAACCACGAGGGCTCTCAGACGCGGAGTTGGCGCAAGTCTGAGAAAGCTTTCCCCGGTCTCTCGAGGTCTCCTAAATTCGGAAGTTCCGGCCCCCGCGGCTCGACGGCTGCTCTCGGGACATCGCTGATCGGCGACGAGGGTTTCCCGATTCTTTCCCCTCCAGGCCGGCTCGATCCGGCAGCCTGGCACGATCTCAATAATTCCACCCTCGCGCGTTGGGCGCCGGGGCGAGAAGCGTAGCCGTCGCGGCGCCGTTATTGATCGGCGCGACGGCCCTGCGTCGGGCGCGGAAAGCGAAAGTCGGTCCCCTCTCTTTCTTAGCCGTCTCGTCTCGCCCTCTCTCCCTCTCTCCCTCTGTCGCTCTCTCGCTCCCTCCCCAGCCCTGGCTTCTCTGCCGGTCTCCGTCGCTCCCCCTGCGCGGCCGGTGTCGCGGCCTGCCCCCACCAGCGACCCCGCGATCCGTCGATCCTGCCGGGCACAGGTGCCGCGGTGCGTTAAGGCCCCGCGCGTCTTTGGGCCCTCGGAAACCTGTTCTCCCCCCACCCTCCGGGCCCCATGGGACTGCGCGCGCCGCCGCCAGGGGCGCCACGGTCGCGCCTCGCCGGGCCTTGCCGGGCCCCGTGGGGCCCCTCGCACCGCCGAGAGGGCTTAGGCGACGAAGGCGTATGCGATATGGCCCTAATCGACCCGCCACCTCTCCGTTCACTCGCTGCAATCTTTCCACGGGCGGGTCTTCCGAATTGGCGACCGTGGTCGCTTTTTACTTTAGCGCATGTAGAACTAAGGGGATGTTGAGGCTGACAGAAAGGATCGAATTGATCCGAGCGCCATTTGGATAAGGGAACAAAAAGAGGCAGCAGCATTGTTTATTGTCCGGAGTTCCAACACAACATTTGGAAGCGTGCACACGCGCGGTCTGCAGACAACGCGATTAACTACTTTTGCCTATGTCGTGTTGGAATTCAACGAGTTCGGGCAAATTGTTAACAACCATTCATGAAATACTGTAAGATTTTTTTTTTTTTCATCCCGTTGATCGATTACATCACAGCAAATTTATTGTATCAGAAGGATATTATTTCACGATTTGTATTGATCACTGAATTTAATACTGTTCTGTCTTTTCTTTGTAGAGTTTTCATGTACGAATGACATGAGTAAAACAACATTGTAGACGATATTTATTTTTGCGTTTCTAAATTATTTGGAAGTGATATATTATCGATTTATCGTTGTCGTTTTATTCAAGGGCAAGCAGATGTCAGATGCTTTTATGTGAATACAAATTTGTTGCTGGGGACGGATTGGGTGGTAACGGAATCTACTCTTTTTTTGTTATCGATTTCAATATAATTTGGATCGGTACTTATCAATGACTCTAAAAAATTATTCTCATTTAGTCGAAAGAAAAGTGCTCTTTTTGTGAATTCGTTTATCGTCTTTCAGTCGGTCAATGGTAGAAAGGTTCGGCATCCTCTTAAGGAATTTTATACATGGTTGAGACCCCTTTTTTAGAAAATGGCCCTTATTGAATTCGAATTTATTTAGATTTCGTTAAGATGTTATTCTACCGGCTGGACGGGCGATGGATCGTTGGGGTCAAGAATGGGCCTCGTGAGGGCTCGCTGGGGCTATTGCAAGATAGAATCTGCGACAGAAATGGGCCCTTGGGGGTCTCACGAATTGGCACATACGAGGATAACCTCCGAGGTCCTAATCAACATCCTCTGAGCGGGCCCACCTTGTATCGGAGCGAAATCCTCGCGGATGCTGCAACTCGAGGATCCTCGGGGACAACGGGAATTTCCTCAACTCTTATACCGTCGCTCGATTGGTCCGACAGAGTATCGACGTTTCCAACAAACGTAAGAAAGTCGCGGCGACCCGTAACCGTAGGCGGAGGAGTCGGAACACGACTATAAAAAATGAATACGTGTTCGGCCCGCGCATTTGAAGCGAAACTAATTTTTCTTTTTTTTTAACTTTAAATGTCAATAATTAATCGAAGGACCAACGCACGAAGGTTAACGAGCGCGTCTACGCAAATTGTCCCGATACCGACATTCTAAGACGAATATAGACGGTAACCAATCTTAAGAAAAGATAAAATAAATAAGCGTTTCGCTTTTCGTTACGCTCCCACTGCCTAATACGCTGAATTACGTTAGGTACCGTGAAGTAAGAAGTTTACGTTAAAAAATGGCAGGGTTACGAAAAGAGAAGCTGCGTCGAGAACTTCCAGGTCTCGGTGAACCACACGCGGCGAAAATAGATCATCGTTTCCTATCTTCCGAATAAAGCTGAAATTTCCGCGTTCAAGGCGACAGCGGAGTCTTCGAGGTCAAAATCCCGAACCGCGGGTCTCCATAGACGGGGCCGTTCGTCACCCGCGGAGGAACGGAGCGGTCGCTCGACTCCGCTTAATAGCTCGCGGGCGATAACGGGCCGAGTGATTAGGACGGAGAGCCGCGGGATGATCGGCGCGAGGAGAATAACGCCAGTCCCTGCTCGGAAGGGACACTTCGGGTTCGGCCGCGCGTGCCGCCCCTTCCCGCTCCCCTGCTCAATGTCAGTGTCAAGGTCAGCGGGCCGACGCACCTCGCGCCGGGAGCGCCGGGAGCGCCGCCACCGTCGGGGCACGCGGGGCACCCGGCGACGCCGCTGCGTCTCGCGCGCTCGTGCTCGTAACTCTCTCCTCCCCCTCCTTCCCGCCCGCCTAAGAGCGCTCTTCCTCCACCCCCGGTGGGTGGCGCGCCCCTCCGCCTCTTCCCCCTCTCCCCCTCGAGCCCCACGGGGTGTCGCGCGGCGTCCGCCACACGAGCGAGCCTAGTTCCCGCGGGTGCCGGCCCGAATCGCGTCCCGGAGTCCCCGAGGCACCGAGTCCCACCTGGCCCGGAAGTCGAGAGCGGGCCTCCGCGGCGCGCTCCCCGAGTGGGTCCTCCGCGGTAGTCGCGGTCGAAGACTCGAAGACTGGAAGACTGGAAGACCCGAAAACTCGAAAACTCGAAGAGCGGGCCCGACTCGTCCCCTGGGACGAAGGTTACGGCGGCGTCGGTCGCCGGCTAGGTTACGCCGCTGGCTAGAGGAGCGTGTGCGCGCCCAGCGCGCCCTGCGAGCTCGCTCTCCCAGGCCCGGGAGAGGGAACCAATGCGATTCGCTTTCTTCGGCCTCCTTTTTTGCTCCCTTTTTCGTGCGCTCTCCGCCACCGCTCGATCGCCGTCGAGACTCGACGCGACGAGACGGGACGGTAGCGCGAGGCACGCCGGGACGGCCCGCAGCGATCGGAAGCCGAGGCGGACGTCTCGCCGGCCTGTGACCGCGCGACGCGCTGCTGGGACCTTTCGGGACCTTTTGGGACCTCTCGGGACCTATTCGGATCTATCCGCCACTGGATTTGGACGGGGCCGGGCGCGCCGCTCTCGACTTGGATCTCGCCTTTGAGCCCGCTCCGAGACTGCGTTCGCTTCGCTGGACCCTCGACACCCATCGAGACCGGATTTCGACCAGCTGGACCTACCCGGGCTGGACCGGGTTCGTGCCCGACTCGCCCAAGGGCAGTCCGTCGACAAACGAGCTCCGTGGACAATGGCCGAGTGATCTCGCGTCCGACGCGCCGGATTCCACGCAGGAGGAGGTCCCCTCGGGGAGTTTTCGCGGCCCGACCATGACCGTGACCCAGCCCGGACCGAATCCTCGAGATCCGCCGTCCCTGGTGGGGCCCGTTTGAGGGACAATTCGGTTGCTGGGTCGCGCGATTCGGTGGCGCGAGTGTCCGGTTTTCGGGAATCGGTTCGATCGGGATCGATAGATGACCTTCGGGTTTTGGGGGCGACCTTTGTCCTCGTGATTTATGCCCACGGCTGGAAGGGTCAGCTGGATTTCGCTCTTTCCAGGGCAACGAGGTGAGAAGAGTCGAGTGGAGTCGGGTGATCGGGTCAACTTTGGAAATAGTGCAGGTGGATCGAGCAGCCGAAGCCGGTCGGTGTATTTATCGAAGATCATTCTTTGTCCACGCGAGCATGGAAGCAGGGCGGAAAAATTCCCGTTTGATAGGACTCGCCTTTGGTGGTTGGCCTGGGCAGGTTATCGTTGGGTCCGTGGATGCTCTCAACTGCTCGTTGAATCTTCCTCGGGATTCGTCGGACGCGGAGAGAGATGCAGTTCCGTTACCGATTTCTGGAGGAAATCTCTAAGTGTTGACCTCTGACGTGACAATTTCATGATTTACTCGCACTCTTCGTAATTGCCGAGCCGAAGTGCTGGTTCACCGGATCTTTGTTCACCCATCTTTGATTCGGAGTCGTTGGAACTTCACGAAAGGCCACCCCTTTTGCTGTCAACTGCTCGTTATCGGCCGAATCCTCCTCGGTTGTTATCGGTTTTTGTTGAGTGACTTTGAGGATCGAAGGAAAGAAAGCGTTGCCGGTGCTCGCTGTTGTATACTTTAAAACCATCTTTTTTTCTGACTCGTACACGAGAGAGGTGAGAACCTTTTGTTCCGTTTCCAGTCGGTCCTGGAAGGATCGATCCCGCAATCGAAACGACCGATCGCCCTCGAAGAGCGGCAACGCAGGGAAAGCGTACGCCGTCGTGCGTCGGAAAAGGAAAAAAAGGAGGCAGCCGGAACGTTTGAAATCGATACTCTCGGTACTAAGAGCAGTCGACTTCGTGGACCGAGCCTGAAGGACTAGCGATGCTCCATCTTACGTAAACGTTTCGACTCTTCGGTAGTGATTCCCGAGAATTTTTCATTTTCGAGCCACGAAGAGATACACGGACGCATTTACCTTGCAGAGAGAGAAATGATCTCGTTTGACCAAACCCGATTTGTTCGATCTCTCGCTGTCCATTTGAACTGGCTTCTCGAGTCGAAATTTTGTCCTTATTTAGAATCTGTAATTGGAGGCCTTAAGGTGACATGAAAGGGTCATGAATAGCATATTCATCAAAATGTAAAAATATTTGTAAAACTTTTCTGCAAACTGAGTGCACCGAATCATTTGAAACTTCAGCTATATATTTGGAGGTCCTAACGAAGAATGCGATGCTCGTGAAATATTAGTTTTCGAATACACTTTTTTTTTTTACTTGTCCTAGACTCGAACCAAGATCATATTTTTTTATGAAAAATAAAATTTCACGAGCATCGCGTTCTTCCTTAGAGCCTTCATAATCACGTGCTGAAGTTTCAAATGATTCGGTGCACCTAGTTTGGAGAAAAGTTCAATAAATATGACCTCTTTAACGCCACTTTCACGTCACCTTAAATGGGTTTATAAAGAAAGGTAACTTGCATACAATTGAGATCCTACTTAAAACCTTGAAAGTGGCAGATATTTCCATTTTATTCATTTATAAGCTTAATGTAGAACTTTGTCGGTATTATGTAGGACGTACGAAATCGAAAGTAGGAACTAAAGGGTGAAATAAACCAAAACAGGACTTAACTTACTTTAGTTACGCAGGTTCAAATTAAAACTGAAATTTCAATTCGGATTGGTTAGGTACGTAGATCTTGCAACGTTAAATGTAAACGAAGGAAAGCTCACTTGGATCTCCGAGTGCTGTGGGAGAACATTATCTACTCGCGTAGTCATTTATCAATGGTCACGTCACGCTTGTTATTGGATCGACGCTACGGCGATAGAGGAGGATCTGGGTCATTCAACTCGTGGTGATTGTGCATTTGGCACTTTTACAACTGCAAAGTTACTATTTTCAGTCGTCGATTTCGGAGCTTTCGTGGGAGGCGCATTCAAAACTCGAAGTACGATTAACCACGACCGTCTTGATCCCCATTAGGCTGGATTAATCCCGCGGAAAGGTCATACTCCCTGGATGTGATACTCGAATGTGCGGCCAGAATGGCCTCGATACGTTTAACGAGTTCTGAAATAGTCGAACAATTTGCGCCCGCAGAAATAAAATAAAAACGGATGAAATTGGAATTCTTCCTGGGCTGAACGTTTGCCTTAGACAATGACGGATACAATTATTCTGAAATTTGCAGGGAGGGGAGAAGGACAAGATGTCTAGCGGGCAGCAGCAGCGATCGGCGTACGCGGAGGCGCATGCGGTAGCCCATGCGGCGGTGCAACAACACATGGCTCAACAAGCGGCCCAGGCAAGGTTGGCAGGTCCCGGTCCACCCACGGCACCTCAGCCTCCAAATCCTACGTTTACGTTGCCGGACGATGGCCTCGGATACGACGACGGGGTTCGCGTCCTCCGATCCATCGGCACATGGCATGTATCGATTGTAAGGAGCTCGTTTTCCTTGGACGGTGAACGCGGACGTTGATGTGGGCCGTTCTTCCAGGTCGCCGGATTACTCGGCGGCGATGCGCCCCGGCGGGGTCATGCCCGCGTTTCCTAGCGCCGCGGACCAACAGTTCGGCAGCGGAAGAGGTCCCGGCGTGAACCAGCCGCTGCGCACCGCGAATACCGTGGGAATTCGACCTGGCTCGGTCTCTAAGGCGACCAACACCGGAGAGCCCACGACGAAGGCCTTCGCCTGCACGGTTTGTGGAAAGGGACTTGCCCGCAAGGACAAGCTCGTCATTCACATGCGCATACACACGGGCGAAAAGCCCTACTCCTGCGAAGTCTGTGGTGGGTGCATTGCAGTCCGTATAACCTGGGATTAGCGTTCGAGACGGCACCGCATTGTCTTTTCCCGTTACAGGCAAAGCGTTTGCTCGGCGTGATAAATTGGTTATACATATGAATAAGCTCAGGCACAGGCCCGGGGTGACCCCGCTCTCCACACCTAGCGCGCCGAGCACCGACCAGCAGCAGCAACAGCAGCAGCAGCAGCAGCAACAACAGCAGCAGCAACAATCGAGGCAGGATACCCTGCAGAAACCAAAAGAGGAGCCGGTTAGTTGGGCTTGCGAGCTCTGCGGGCGAGCACTGTCGACGAGGGAGGAGTGGATGCAGCATGCGAGGTTCGTGATGCCATGTATATCGGTTAATCGACAAGAGGAACGGCCCTCCCGGGTGGATATAGAGATGCCTCGGTTAGGACACTCCGACGATGCCGATGATTGGAGTCCGTGTGCTTTCAGATCCCATTTAGAGGCATCGGCGCCACCGCAGCATGCGGCCGCTTATTTCCCTGGATCCACGGCACCGCCCCAGCCCTACGCCTCGGAGAGGCACTTCTGCCTGATGTGCCGCACCGACTTCACGGATAAGGCTGAGTTCATGTTCCATGTTCGTTCGCATTTCGAGCCCCATGCTCAACAGACGACATCGCAGCACTCGAGCTCGAAGCAGGATCCCGCCACGGCGGAACTCATTGCCCGCGGGTTGGTTGATCCCTCGGGACTCTGCAGCTAGAACCTCCCGTCGAGTCATTACTTGCAGTCGATCTGTGTCTTACCATAGTACAACTTCTCGACTCTAACCGCGGACTCTATCGTCCCCGGAGGGAAAGGAGGCAGGACGATGGATAGCACTTGGACGCGACAATTCCGATTTGGTTATCGCCGTAAATGAGGGGATCCTGCCGCTGGTGGATTTCTTTTTTTTTTTCTTTTTAGAGATTCCGAAGCGACGCTAGGCCCCGTCTAATCGTTAATGCCGAATGTCGCTGTCGTCCAAGCCTTCCTTTTTCCGGCGGGGTTACGTTACGTGGGTATACGTATTGGTGATCGTAATGTCATGTCGACTTATCGGCAGAGGGTACGCAGCGATACGACAATCTGTTTGCTCTCTTACTTTGCATGTAATAAATCACTGTAACCCCGTGTACAGTTTTTTGTTTTTTTTTTGTTTTTGTTTAATGCAATATGCTCGCATGGTCAAGTTGACCGGTTTTTTTGTTCATGCGTCTACGACATGTGAATGAGACGAATCGTCTACCGTGTATACGACTCGTCGGATTATGCGTGAAAGGTAAGCGGGCGTGTATCGAAAACTTACCGATTGTCAGAACTTGTCGCATATTAAGTCACAATAGTTAGACAGATATGCAACTTAACGGTGGAGAAATACGTTTAGATTGCTATACGTAACCTGGCTCTTGCGTGCGTATCGGCGTCGGTGCGTATCCTTTGTTCGTTCAATAAGTCCTCTCACCTTGGAACAATGTTAGATACCGCCGTGATATTGTAAAACATACAGAGTTATCGCGTCTGTATCTAATCATCCGTTAGCGTAAGTTCCTACATAACCAGCTTCCCAAGCCGTATTGGCTATCAGTGTACAGGTTTGTTCACAATGCTGCTCTACCACTCTCTTGCTACGGTCTGTAGAACATCTTCAGAGAACAGCTCATTGCGACGTTTTAATTCGAATTTAGTCGTCTTACTTTAAGATTCCTCAGCCGATTAAGGACTTTAACTAGCTTGACGCGGGGCGCAACGAGTTATACGTGAATTTTTGACACGATGGCGTCGACGCCGCCGACTAGACTGCGCTAAAGGTACTGTAACTCGTTCAAGGCTCGTGTTTATCCCTGTTTTTTATTCGAAATTACCGTTCGTTCATCATGCAAGCGATAAATTGTCAATGTTTACGGTGCTGATTTCAGTCCAATATCCGATCGATCGATATTGGACCGTATCAATCAATAGCACTCTTGAAGCCATTTAAGGTACCTGAAACATCGAGATGTGCTTAACCCGGGAAAGAGTAACGTAAGCGCACGTCATCTCGAGCTCGTATCACTCAATTGACGCAGACTATAGGACACCGCTGGGGGCGTTTATTTTTCTAGCAATACTCGAGAAACGCCCGAAACGGTGGGAACGATTAAGAATTGCATTGCGAACAAACTATATCTTCCTGTAACATGCGTAGATCGTGCTTATACAATGCTTACTCCCTCTTGTCACCTTAGGCTAGGATTCTGAATAACATTAGACCGTGCTAAGAAGTTTGAATTGCCGTGCCTCCTGTCTCACGTACAATTTTTGTCCCGGGCTTCAGTTCTGAACGAGCTATAGCTCGATGGAAAACCGACTGACAGTTCGGCGCATCTCAATGGCTACTAAAGATTTTCTTACATAGGTTAATTGAATGTTCACGCGCAACATGAGTTTGCCTCGAGCGAGGTCGCGCTACGAAGAGTTACGCAGGATTCCTGATCCTTGTTACGCCTTCGGTCCGTATCTTAGATTGTGCGAATTTCGGTGTCTCTACGTGTGATCGGCACGTAACGTGCACCGGTAGATTTATAAGGTTGACGCCACCTTGGTATTTCGCGTTCCACGTTAGTTCATCACAGAACGGATTTTGAAACGACAAATAGTTCCATCTCCGTTTTACTTATTTATTTTTACGCGAGAGCGTGCTTTCGTCGTTGCCTACCGATGGGTAGGCGACATGTGATTTTTTGTAATCAGTTTTAATTAATGCATTAGAAGAAAATCGGCTCGTAGCAAAAGCAGGATAATTGTAGATGACGAAGGTGGGACTCGATGAGCATCCTGGCTAGTATACCAAGCGTTGGTACACCAAATGTTAGCACTCCTAAACGTCTCAACACGTGATTTAGTTTCTTCTCTCGAAATCGTACTTCCTTTGCACTTTGTCTGCACGCTCGTGACGCCGTTTCCTTGTCCGGAGGACGAAGGCGCGTTAAACTCTAAGACTGCGTTTACGAGTTAATGTATAAATTTCTGGCAGAACTCAGCGAGGAAGTGACTCGAGGGGGACGAGTTCGACCAGTGTCACCGATCATGTACGATGACTCGAGCGAAGGTGCACCGCTCGTCAACCGGAAGAGAAGTTCTAGTGTATAGAAAGTGCAATCAAATTTTAATCACGTGGATTTTCGGATGTACATAGTACGACTGATTACCTCAATTACCTCGACCTCGTCGGTAACTCGAGCAGCCCAACGGCATGTTACTCGTATGATACTTTTGGAGACTTTTGGCCGAGGATCTGGCATGAAGGGAAATCTAAACGATCTTCTGTTCTCACGCCAATAATCAACTGGACGGCAACGATCCGTTCGTCTCTTAAGACTCGATGCTGCATTTGCTTCTTTTCTTCCGTTCGATCTTCGACATTGATTAATAGACTGCGCAAACGGCAGACGCACTTGTCTCTGGATCTCGTCACCAAACGTTGCGAAAACGTTTGGGCCCTTGTACTCGACAAACGCATATAGTGCCTTCTCTCTGGGATTTAATCGACTTTAGTTACATAAGTTCAAGGTACATACGTGTTGGGAGGCACGTTGGCATGAGACACGTATAAATAAGTTAGGATAGGAAGTTCCGGTATCGTTTCTCTTTCGTTGTCAGGTGTGAATATTCGATGCCACTGCCTCTAGCAGCTGTTTTTCAACTACTTTTATACCGTTGATGTCACATGCAGCTAACCAGAGTCAGTATATTACTGCCGTAATCATAATACACTATGTATACTCACTATACCTTTATAAATAAACAGTAAAATTGTATACCGACGAGTGAATCTTGCGTTTCTTGGAAGGACTGCGACGAGCGATGATGATTCTGCCCCGATAAATACAAAGTTGTGGAATTCACGTTTTATACGCGTAAAACTAATGGAAATAAGGCGGTAGGAGTAAAAATTAAACGTTTATCTACCCATGGTTTTTTCTCTACGTTAAATATACATTTATACGAAACGTTGATCTTGCGTATTAAGTTTCCAATGCGTTTGTCCCTAGCCAAGAAGAAACGTATACTTTAACGTAACGTTTTAACGTTATTTAAATATATAGTGAACGATTATGAACGATTACTTTACCGACAGATTACGTTCAAATTCATGTTACACGACTAAAACGACAGGTTAATAAACGTAGAATATACGTTACGTCAACGTTGAATCTGCCATGGAAAGAGCGGGCATTGGAACGGGTAAAATTCATTTTTTACAATACATTTTATACGATTATTGTCAACGGTTTTACCCCATTTCTCAACGTGCACTCCACCATTTTGTGTTTATTGGAGCTTGTTCGCTTCGATGATCATCCTGGTCGTAATGATTTTTGTTGCATATCTTGAAGATGAAGATAAAAGACAAAGTTTAAGCACCGTGTTGTATAATTGTTAGCTGGATGTCCTGAGAATATTAGACGAATCCGCGGTAGCCGAGAAGGCTCGTATTTTTTTCTTCGCGTACTCGTGAATTACACGAAATTATTACACCTACTCGGTGACGCCCGCGAACTCATCAGGCTTTACGAAGATGGTAAACGCGATTCCGACTTAACAGGAATGTATATCACGAGACGTCGCCCCGCTCGTTAAAGCTTCGAAGACAAGCTTCAGCCTCCTCTTCAGCCTCCTCTTCAGCCCGCAACGAGACGGATAATATCGAACTGCTTCTTCAGGGAAAACCAGTCCGATCCTTGAAAGGTTCTCGCACTTGCCACTGACCTTGTGGGTTCATTGCACGCCCTGAAAAAATGTCACAAGGCCGTGCTATACTCCTCGCCGCGTGAACTCGCCGAAGACTATACCCTTTATGGCGAAGGCCGATGAACAATGCGTCCTCGACGGAGTTATTTCACTTCCGTGACATAACGGAAAAACAGCGAAACTGCGTCGCCCATATCCGTTGATGACGTTCCCGAGGAGCAGCCCGAAGAGGACGCTCGAAACAACCCCAGAAAAATTCTGAAGTAATTCCAAGGCTTTTCAAAGATTTCCCTTTGCAAGTGAAACTTACTTATGTTATGAAAAGGGCCCATTTCGGAAAACGAAACGCTATTTTCTCTTTCTTTGCAGTTAATTATTATTTAAATTCATATTTGCGTCTTGGTATTAAAAGAATTTACGTGAACGGGAGTTCTACGAAAGGTAGCCTCAAATGGGGATCCAGTAGATCTATTCTATAATTCGTAACAACAGCTATCGTTATCGTCAACTCTTGTTATTCCACTGGGCTAACGATATCTGTGGCTACGAGTTCAAGAATTTCGGATTTTCGCTAATTTAACGATGCGAGTGCTACTCGCGGAAAATGGAGGAACTACGATACTTCGTAACTAAAACCTTGTTTTATCTATGTAAAACGCTTTAAATTTTCCAACAAAGGTATGCAACGTGCAACGATAATCCGTACATGTTATACAGAATATGATGTTTTTAATGTCATACGGACTAGCGGACACATGCTAATGTTGTTGATCATGATGTAGATGATCATTGTTAATTGCAATGTTTTAGGCGCTCCGCATTACATTAGCGAAAATCCGAAAATCTTGAACCTGAAAAGTATGGCCAGTTTCAACATACATTATTAAATCTTCTTATATTACTTTGTGCTTTTTACTGTAGGAGGGAAATAAAACTAGAAAGAGACGTTTCTCCCCCTGGAAAAAAACGATGGAAATTTACATACATTTTTACACCCTACATAACTGAATTTTTACATAAAAAAACGTAAAATGAAAAAATTATAGCCTAGAAAATGTATGAATATCGGTGATATTGTATATTTACTGCATTAGTGCATTTTTACTTGAATTAAACGTAACATTACACTGTAATTTTTTTATGACATGTAAGACCTTTACCATGGATGTCAATGCACAGGTTACGTAGTAAATTTACATATTGATGCGTATAAATATACGTTGCCAGCAACGTATTTTTACCCAGGTAAACTGTACATGATGTAAACTTACAATTAGCCAATCAAATCGTATAAATTCAATCACGTGATCCCATGTGGATTCTCGTTTGAGAATAATGCTAAACGCGTCGAAACGTGTTACTATTAGTTACTAATAGTTACTTTAAAAAATTAATAGTAACTAAATTGTTAAACGTGTATAGACGACGCCCCGTGGCGCATCATTAGTTATTGTAGACGTTTGGCCTTTGAAGATTCAAGTAATCTCCGGAGCTGACTTGCCTCAGTTTAGTACTATCAAATTGACGTGAAAGAAGTAAGTACCGACACAGGAAAGTGTCTTACAATTATGGTTGTGTTTTCATGTAGAATATGTTTTCATAACTGTACGTCTGGGCTAACATATGAGGCCCATCGATATTATCACCGATTAGATTATACATCAAATTTGCAATTTGTAGAGCAATTATACATTTTACATGTACAATTACACTTTATATGTAATATTACAGTTTATGTTTACATATCAAAAGTGCGCCTACGATACATTCTTTGTGTAAATTTAGATGCCAAATGTGATATTACCCAGACAATGTAATTTTAATGGTATTAATCGTAGCATCAAAATAACCAATGATCTAGGGTGTAAATTCACATGGGAATTTTTTTCAGTACATGAATTGCGCGTGGCGGGCACGCCCCAATTTTATCGGTCAATTTAACGACCCTACGTCGTATGTTATGATACACTTATGTGCAGACAACTATGTTCAGAGTTCACATCCCCATATGAGGACGCGTGTCCTACTCCGGCCTAGATTTTGAACTGCCTGCGTCAGAGTTCCTTCAGGGTTTGAGTCATCGTCGGTAAAATGAAAGAGTCCGCGACTTGGATAGGAAAAAGTGGAGGTTCTTTTTAACGGTAGCCCCGGAGCTCTCCGTAACGTCCTTTGTGTCGAGTTCCTGTACGGAGCCCTCGAAGGTGGCTCGCCTTGTCGTAGTTGCCGCTCTCGCATTAAGAATCCGGTCACGAGCTTCCAATCGGCCGCGGTCAGACTCTTTCCTCCTAAAATCGACGTTTGCTCGCGTTCTTGCGTCGCTGGGAGGAGAAAGAAAATTTTTCCCTACACGGAACATGTCTAATTAAAGTTCCTCTCCGAAAGGAGTTCCTCGCGTCGCATATTGCAATAGCGAGTAAAAATTAAAAACGAAGTTTGGATTTTGGAAACGACGATCGTCAGGTTGAGTAAAGAGGTAATTTGGATATTTATTGCCAAAAAGAGACCCGAATGTAATTGTTATGTGTGGGCGTGTACGTCAGTCTATAAAATCGACAATGGCGACAATCGACAATCGGACGAATCATGGGCATCGAACTATAAGAAATTTTTATTCTGAGTTTAAGTAACTGTATTTTTGTTTTGAAGCGTCTACTTCTATTTTCGCAAGCTGTAGGAAATTGCTGGAGAAACGTAGGATATTTTGACTTTTAACCCTTTGCGGTCCGAGTTTCTTAAATCGTCTTGTAATTGTTGAGTCAGTCTCGACATTACATCGTAAGGGTTAAAAGTTATTTTGTGCATTAACAAGTTTTTCATAGCACGTCAAATTATTCCATTATATTAATGAGGTATTCATGTATGTTAGTTTCAATTACTGAAAAAGCTTTGAGCCCCGTGATATTCCATGGTGTTTTGAGCAAGAATCTTTAAGTTATACCATTTATTGAAATTTGAATAAATGGTTTGCTAATATTTGCTCTCCTTGTGATGGAATGAAGTAAAGTTTCTTCAAAATCCCACAAACCCTTTTGACGTAAATTTATATTTAGGGATGTAGTTCTAGAACTCAAGAAATGTGTTAAACAATAATAAGTTGTAAGATTCAAGAAGTTAGAAGAACTTTACTTTAAGTATCTGTACATTTCGTTAGTTGTTTTTTTTCTTTAACTACAGTTTTCAATGATTTAATTATTCCTACTGAACTCCGTAATTTAAGATAGAAATTAAAATTGATGAAATATAATATTAGGATACAAAAATCTGACATTCAAGTTGTTTAATAGTTTTGGTCAGTTTTTTTGCACAGTTTTGTTTAGTTGCGTTGGGGATCGCTAGAATCTTTGTACTGCTACGAGTAGAAAAAAGTGGTACTTTTCGATTCGTACCCAATAACTAATGATCGGCCCTCAGGTATCGGCTCTCCCTACAAATAACATCAGCGATCATCTGCATTTATGCCCGATGGTGAAAATTAATTCTATCTTAGTACTTTCTCAACTCTAAATATCCAGTTAGACGTTGATGATCTTTTAGAATTGGATTTATCAAAGACATTGCGTTCTTAAGAAGTCGATCGATGTAGGGTAATTACGTGTAATTACGCGAATATTTCAAGATGCTGTAGGGAATACGCCGGATCGCGCCGCAATTAAATCGGCCTTTCGGTTTTGCGTCATTAGAAGCATTAACCATGTACCGATGATCACTTTAATGCGAAATAAATTTCTTCAGCCCGTGAGGCGCGTTTCTCAGGTATTATACGTTGATTTTACGTTCCGGAATCGTTCGCGTTCTCATGGCGCTACGCCATTGCCGAGTCGGAGAGAAAGAAAATTGCCTCTTTGTTTTCCCCCTGATTGGCCGATCGGCAGGATTCGCGATGGTCTCGAGATTCTAGAATTGCCGATGCCGTAACGTTGCATCACGAAGCGAGGTTCCAAAGGTTACGAGATGAAAGTAACTTGACCCCTGGGGTGCTGGATTGCACCAGAGGGAAGTCCCGCCCGTGATACGTGCCGCCAACCATGGAAAATGTGCCTGGGATCATTTTCACCCGTTGTCGTGAGCACGCGTCCTGGCAAATTGCTGCCGATCCTTTCTTTCGGGTTCCTTCCATTCTAAATCATAGAGAAGATATTCTAACCCTTCCCTAAATTCTGGACGAATTAACCAGAAAATAATGAAAGCCTAATCCAAGGAACCTCTTCTTATTGCGAGACTCCGGCCCAAAGCCTGAAATTCACCTTCCGAAACCACATTTCTTCATTTATACAATTTATCCATTCTATATCACCTCGATCGAACGTTCACACAAACGCAGTACCGGAGTGCGGCAATTTCGACGCCCACTGTCCCCATTGTTGGGCTCCAAACCACCTCGTTACCTTTACCGCCACGTCCCCTCAACACCTACCGGAGGTGACGAAGGATTTGCAAAACTCCCAGGAGTGGTTCAAGCTCCGCGACTCTTATTCAAAGACCACCGTGACTTTATTCGTACATTTTGCGGTTGACAAACTGTTCAAGGCGTCGACTCGGGGTTCCAATGGCGCGCAGGGGAATCGACTTCCTCGTTGCTGAACTTCGTGGTCGTCTCCTCGCGATTATTTCTGCTTACTGAAGGTGTAGGAGAAGCCATCCGGGGTTCTATTGAAATCGAGTTTACCGGTGGGATAGAATCTGTGCGGTGTCGGGGTAGCGATGGAGTTGTACTGGGGCAGCAATCTCGGCTGGGACGGAGTTTGTTGCCGATGGGTGGCCTCGGGTTGGAACGGCTGAGATTGGTACTGCGGCGGCTGGGGCGATGGCTCGGGACCGTACCGTTGCTGGTGCCCTAATTGCTGGGCTGGAAACTGCGGCTGAGAGGAGAACACCGTTTGCGGCACCAAATGAGGCGGTGGTCGGTACAGCTCGCCATATTCTGGACGGTACTCGAAGTTGAACGGCCCTGTTGTCTGTTGTTGCTGATATTCCGGGGAATTGTATTGCGGCAGAGGCACGTATTCCGGTTGCGGTGCGACTTGCGGAGGCGCGGTAGGAATGTGGTCCCCGGATGCCTGGCGGAAAAAAATTCCGAACAATAGTTAGTACCCTTGGTTCCAGGGAACGAGCTTTAAAGAATGAAACTTTTTCGAGCAACCGTGGGAAATCTTGGAATCCCCTGAGCGGGCGTAAGTTTAGTGAAATTACCGATCTTCTCGTATCCGAGTCAAACCTCTAATCCTCTATTGTTGCGTTATCCGTTTATCCGTCCTAAATTTCAATCTCGTTAACCAAACGAGCGTCGACGCTAAGAAACTCGAAGTTCATTTTTCTCACTGAAACCTCGACGTTCCAGGAACATTTAAATTTCATCGAATTGAATACTCATTGGAGAAATACGGAGTAAAACTGAGTACAAAATGTACGGGGGAAATGTCGGTTAATTGTATGATCTCATTCGGAAATAGTAGACACGTAAATATGCAAAATGTAATATTGAAATTTATGTTGATAATTTATATAAAACTCAATTTCTATGGTAAGGGGAGGACCTTAAGGGCGAAGCAAGGCTCGATTGAGTGTTTCAAAATTGAAATTTGTCAGGTTCATCGGTCTTGATTCAATGCTCGTTCGGACCTCAACCTTACAAACTTGGACATAAATATTTCATTAACATCTTCCCGGCTTAAACGCTCATATTATCCTTCAGATTCTCACGTGCGTTCGCGAGGCTTGTATGAGGTAACACTTTTCAATTCGGGGAATGACGAATAAGGTTTCGGTAGTTACAATAGCAATGCGTCAAATTAGACATTCATTTTTAAGTATTGATAAATGTTAGCGTGAAGTAACGTGTCGTGAAAGTTAGAGTACGGTTTAAGTAAGATAGAGGAGGTAGATTAATTACCGAGGCCTTCTCGAGAGTGTCACGAACCTGGAAGCCATTTTTGCCGGCCGTGTACGTGACCGTACGCCTTTGCCCTGTCGGGTCGACGTAGGAATAGGAACCCTTACGATTGCCCTCTACGTCGCTCTCTTCCTTAAATTCTACCCCATCTTCTTGGGTGTAGGCAGCACCGAATGTCCCATCCCCTGCGAGATATCGGGCGTCGCTCAGAATCGCTGCCTTCTGCGCCGATTGCTGGTACTGGGGCACCTGGCCGGACGCCAGGGCCACGGCGATTGTCAAAATTGGCTAAAATTTACATATTCATTATTAACTCCCACTTTTTCATAATGCAAATGCTAACAATTGCTGACTTTTCAATATCTTTGGTTACCGTGATGTTCTTTACTGTTTCGTTTCGGTAACAAAAGACGCCCTGTGTCGAAATTTTCAATCTCGGTTGAACCTTCAAGGCTCCGTTCCATCAACCTCGATTAACTAGTCAATCCTCGGCCACAAAGAGTTATACGTTTACGTTAACACACAGGTAGATCAATGATTCGATCATTGTTTGCGGAACCGGCCATTGATTCTTTATCCTTTTGATCGTTAAATTTACCGATAGAAATGTCATCTTCAGCAAATTGAGAACCTCATTTTTCTTACCGCAATCTCGACGTCTTCAAAATGTTTTGATTTATTCGAAGCTTGATAAATCTCAAAACGGAATGGTTACTTCATTTTATAAAAACAAGAGCTGAACATTTTTAAACCATAGAAACTACTACAGTCGTTGAAGAAAGATTGAGTAAAACTAGTTGGGAAACGTATTAGAAATACAAATTCATTGCATTATTGCGTGCATAAAAAGTAAAATCTTAAATATGTAAAATGACATATTATGATTTACGTTAATAACGTAAAACTCTATTTCTGGGGTCAAGGGCAAAGGGAGGGCCTCGAGGACGAAACGATCCTCGATTGAGTATTTTTGAAAATTGAGGATTCCGAGGTTTAACCGAGTCTATTTAACGCTCGTTTGAATTCAATTCCACGAAACGGGTATATCTATTTGAGATTCGCGATAAGTATATCTATTTGAGGTTCAACCTAGACCAATTTCATTAACGTCTTCCTATCTGAACTTCTTTCACTCTAAATTCTCACGTGCGTTCACGAGACTAAATTCCAGATAATAATTTTGACTCGGGGTCTCCAGTAGCGAATGAAAGTCAATCACAAAATCGCACGTTTGTATTTACAATTCCTATATATCTTTGTAATTAACGCAGGCTCGAGAACACCGCGAATAATATTGAAATTCCTACAATATCGAGTTTTGTTTGGGGCCCTTGAAGTCGCGTCCACTCTTTGTTCTCGGAAGCACGGATTGGCGAACGCGAAGACCGAGCCGGGAGATTCGGCGGTACTTACGAGCGCGACACGCATGCTGAAGAGGATGTCTCGGAAGAGGTGGAGGACGTTAGTGCGAGAAATGTCGATCGAGAGGGGCGTTTTATACCAGGAGTTTGTTCCCATGGCGCTCGGGATCTTAGGGCACGGAGGCCTTGAGACCGCCCGCGCGTCCCCGGCCAAGGAGAGCACTCCTTCCTATTCGTCCACCACGCCCTGGCCAGAATTGCACTCGGCAACCCACGGCACTTTTGTGCCATTGTGTGCGTTAACGCGTCCTGACACTTCTTACGCACACGTTAGACCCGAGCAAATACCGCTTCTAGGTCGGGCTGGGTGATTTTTGCGAATAGAACGCGACCTTCGATTCGCACAATTTTCTATATTCTACGGTTTGGTCATTTTTAAATGTCTACAGATTTGTCCCTCCGTTCGGTATTTTCAGGCGATACGAAAGGGTCATTTCCTATATACAAAAGGTTAAAATGTTTATAAAAGTTTTCTCCAAACTGGGAGCACCGTATAATTTGAGACTTTAACACGAGATTGTGGAGATTCTAAGGAAGAACTCAATACTCGTGAAATTTCATTTTTCAAAAAAAATTACGATCTGTACAAGTTTAAGAAGACCGAAGAAAGCTGCCGAATTGAAAAAATTCGTTATCGTGTCGCCATTTTGTGATTTTTAAATTTTTCAATGCGATCGAGCTACCGGCCATAAAGGGTCATCCAAAAAACCATAATATATCTGGGTTTTTTGTTTCGGATCAGTCAAACGGGCGCAATCGTGAGCACCGATGAAATGCAGCCTCTTGCGGTCCAGCGCGCCGAGCGAGGACGACGCAATGAAATGTTTTTGAAAAATTTGTACAAGCAGACAAAACATCAATAAATATATATGAAAAGGGATTTTTCAATAGGTCTTACGATTTCGGCACAAAAAATGCATGAAAATTCGTTGAAAAAATTCCAATAAAATGTATCTCTCCCCTCAATACTGTAAAAAATGTACAGCTTTTTTTACACCATTGTGCAATTTATCGCAATCTTCCTAATCTTACGCACGCGTTAGACCGGAGTGAATCCTGGTTTTAGATCCTGCCGGGAGATTTTGTGAATAGAAATACGATCTTTTATTTTTAAACGTCTGTGTTTACTATATTCGGTTCAGGAATACATTTAAAAACTCATAATTCTATCGCATTGATGCATATGTTAACGCATCTAGAGAGTTCTTATGCTCGCGTTAGACCCGGATGAATAGACTTCTAAGTCATGCTTTCAGATTTTGTGAATGAAAATGTGTTCTTTGATTTATTATTTTTTTTGTACCGAGATCTATTAAGAAATATATTAAAAAGTCTACAGCTTCTTTGCATTAATGTATGCATATTAATGCATTCCAACATTTCATACGCTCGCTTTAGACCCGGATGAACACACTTCTAGGTCGTTCCGCAACATTTTATGAATGGAAATGCAATATACGATTTTTGTTGTGTACCGCGAGAAACAAGAGCTGGTAAGTTGAACAATTTGATACCGTTAAAATCATTTTTGTTAAAGGAACGGAATTGTGCTGTTTGATTTACTATAAATCAGTAGCTACAACTAATTTTAATAGGTGAGCATACTATTTGTTTTTGTACTAGTTTTGTAGTAACTGTAATAATACTTCTACTAAAATTTTCTACCATTTCCGAATCGTTACATTAGCCTTTACATATTGTCAACTTTCCTCGCAAGATTTTATTTACCTTACTTTCATTACGCATCCTAATATTTCATACGCGCGCGTTAAATTATATCGAATATTGTCACGCAGTCATACCTGTCCGTGAGAACAAATTTTGCGAATTGAAATGTAACTTTAGATTTACGAAGTTTTTAATTCATGTACTACGTTCTGGTCAGAATTGCGCTTAAAAACTCGTAGCTGATTTGACTGACAAGAAATACAACCTTTGAGTTGCGAATTTTTCACATTTTGGACAGTGTTCGTTGACCCGTAGTTATTTTACAGTACATATTATCGCACCCTTATAGTTTTCATTGAAACATCGTCATTATTGAATCGTGATTGTTCGTGTCAGTTTTGCGATCACAAGTACAACCTTCACGTGGCCAATCTTTTATAGATAGAACTTTCATAGATAGATAGAACTGTGTTCCAACGTAAAGGTCTAACTTTCCATCCGTGCTGCGAATATTAGTATTTCTCAAATATTTTCTTACCAATTCCATTTAGTTTAGTTATATTGTCAACGGAACAAAAATTCTCCAGGGAAGGTTGTACATGAAAAATGTGTCATATCTTGTTTCAAAAATGAAGGAATAATTATTTAGCAGAAATATTAGCAACTGACAGCTGCCTGTCTTAATAAATGTTTCTACAGTTTAATTAATACCACTACTACTTACTGCAATTATTCCACTCGGGTGCAGTTTTGGCAAAATCGAACGCAACGGAGTTCAAGTGGTTTCTTTTGTAAATTCTCCTCTTAATAAAAGAAATATAAACACTTAGGCTCTTTTGTTCCTCGTTTCGTGGCTTCTTCTTGCCCTGTAACCTAACAGCAGAATGAGACATGTTTATATACGATGTATACTCTTGGAGTGACTCATGAGTGTTTTTTACACCTGAATCTACAAAAATCGTGGGTTTACTGAACGAATAAATTTCCCAACAGACCGGACTGCTTCGAATTTTATTAAGCAACATCCGTAAAGTATCTCATCAATAGATTTACAAATGTTTCTTTCACGTCAGACTTTTATTACTTCTTTTTTCTGTCGTCGAGTAATAATTTTGCCATTGGTTACATGAATTACAAAATATATACTGCCTAGGTCATGTGACGTATCTTTGAAAGTGTTGAATTTCTCAAGAAATGACTCGCGTGACCTAAATATACACTATTGGAATCCGTTTTATATACTTTGGTATATTCGAAGAGTGTAAATGAATATTTTTCGCACGTAGTCTTTTGCCTATGGATTAGACGAGAAAGTAGGATAGGTACCTTTGACCTGTAAAGTATCTTTAACAAAGGACCCAAGCTGGAACGAAACTGTTCCTTTACTCCGACTAATATCGGGTGCTCGTGCTTATATTAACATGAGAATCCATAACATACATTAACGGCCAGAAGATCTTCAATTGCTTCGGTCGCCAACAACACGTGGTTTCGACACGAATTTTCATTATTATAAACATTAACATTACAAATGTTCTGTATTCTGAATGCATATTTATCGCGTGTCGATCACTGGTGACCGCGTGGCATTAAATGTGTTAAGATAGGATTACGTAGACAGCTGAGAAGCAAAAAAAAATTCATATTTTAAGGTAATTCGGAAGGCGAGCTTGAACGGCCACTTGTACGACTAAACTTTTTACAAAATAAATAAAATTTTAGAACAATGTTATAGAGGTGGTAAGATTGTTTTTGACACTCAAAAATTCATTTTCCGGAAAAGCAGTTTTTATTTAGCATAGATCAGAACCACGTCACATTTGTTTTGCTACCATTCATTTCCAGAAGGCTTTAAAGCAACAATTGAGAGCGTCAAGAATCATGCTCAATCGTTTGTAACATGATGGTCAGTTAATGTTATACTTTCGAACGGGAAAAAGGGAAAAAAGTTGTATGAATTTGAGGTGTACGACGCAGGTTACCTGTGCACTGTTACTACTTTCGGAGCAAAAAATTAGTCCAAGGGATTTCTTGTGTTGTACTTCGATCTCTTCACGATCATTATAGTAAAATGACATGCTATTTCGTATAATTCTCAATGCAGAGAGCAATAGATAAGAATATAAATATAAATGTCGGTAACGTGGCACGCAGATTCAGATAGTTTATCAGTTAGCTCGTATAACAAAATTCTTTTTTACCGACGTCGATCAAATTTCTCAGCGCTTTCCACATTACTTTAAGCGATTGCCAAAATTTATTTTTGGCAAAAGAATATTTAAATCAACCTACTGTGCGTGGGATAGACCGATGACATCAAACGCGAATGAAAAAGTTTCTGGAAAAACTTAAAATCTAAAAATTTGGTAGGATCATTGGTTAGTATATTGGCTTTAAGATAACATCGTGGTACTTGCAACGAACAATGCTATAATTTTATATGCACTATAGACAACAGAGCTGAGAAGTAGTCCAAAGACTGTGGCGCCTCCTGACGGTTCGACAGAGAACATAGTTGATAGTAGTTCCACCGAACTCCTACGATACATAAACGCTTTGTAGCAGTTCATACGCGATGCGAAGGATGGCGCCGTGATCACTGGTCCCCGCGAATTTTGTTATCAAGAGAGTAGGAATCTCTCTAACCATTAGATACATAAGATTTTCGTTAGGTCTCCGATCGTTGGATGGCGTGAAAACGCAGAAATGAACTTTACGTGGCGTGAAGTTCACTGGCGAACGTGAATGCATCAATGTGCTGCCAATGAATGCATGGAAGGAAATTTCTAGATGTACATTATATGCAATATAATATTCTGTGCACATATACTATACATATTTTTTTAACTTCTAAAACTTCTGTACTGAAACATTCTGTACATATGGAAACGTTCTATGTACGCATATTAGACATTTTATTCCGTGCGGGTTACTTTATATTATTCCAATCTTTCTTGATCATGTCTGCTGCTTTTTCAGCTATCATCATCGCCGGGATGTTTGTATGTCCAGATATCGGTCGTGGAATTATCGAGGCATCAACAACTCTCAGTCCTTGAATTCCAATAACCTGGAAAATTACGTTAATTACTTACCATTATTTTATACCAAAGGCTAAAATTTAATCTATTAACCGTTTGACTGCTAAGCAATTTTTGCAAGAACGCACGAAAACTGCGGAGCAACAAAGACACACTGAAACTCGCAGCGCAAAAGCGCTGCGTCGCGGTTTTCGAGACAAATGAACGCAGCGCTTTTGCGCCGCGTAGCAGTCAAACGGTTAAATACAATAATTTATTTATCATTCTTT